GAACGAGCCACCTGGTGGTGAAACTGGTAACTACCTACTCGCATCTGCGTTATTGAAGCAAGTTGAAAAACAACTTATTTTTTGACGTCAAATATATCAAAAACTGTAAAAATTTGATGCTGACATATAGTGAGCAATATGTAGGGAATGCTTAAATCTAGTAATGATGTAATTCATTGCAAGAAATGATCAAGTATAAGGCAAACTTTGAGAAACTTGTCAATCACAAAACCTGCCATTGTCTTTATACATGAGAAAGTTTCCTGAAAATGACAGAAGTCCTACTTTTTGTCAAAGGACGATTCTCGGTTTGGAGAACGAAGTTCATCAATCTAAATGAGCATTATCCCTGCTTCGGACAAATTTGATTTTTTTTACATTATAAAGATTAGAATGTCTTCTTTTGAATTGTCATAATTTAATTTGGGTAATATTTCTAGATTTTTCGCAAAAAAATATTAGCGCAGTACACTGATGAACTTCTTTCCCCAAATCGAGACTTGTATTTATATTGAATCGGTCTTTTTTAGCATTATCCCTGCTTCAGACCAATTTGTTATCTTTACATCTTGTAGATTTAAATGTCCTCTTTTGAATATTCATAGTTTAATTTGGGTAATATTTCTATATTTTTCATGAAAAAAATTATTAGGCCAGGAGACTGTTCTCCAAACCGAGAATCGTTCTTTTATAGAGTAAACACCAAAAACTGTAATTCCAAGAGCTTTGAAATCTTCAGAGGACATAAGTTGCATATACAGCAACTACTACAAGTTGTTTGAAAGTTCTACTTCAACAAAATGTCTAGTATTTACAGAAAATTTGACTTTTTGACGTCAAAATCAGCAATTTTTAGGAAACTGGGCGAACTTGGGAAATGGCGATGATATGTCAAATAGGCAATATGGATATACATAAAATGAATCTGGATATGACTCAATCCGAATAGCAGTTTTAATTTGTGCGGCCAATGTTGACGGACGGACTGACCAACGGACGGACCAACGGACGCCTGGTTGATCCCATAGATTTACTGTGAGCCAAAAATGTCTAAAAATGCATAATTTTTTGTCACTTCCTGTTTCATTATTTCCTGTTAAGTATCATGGCACCTTAAAACGGGAATCCTATTGACAGAGGTTTTAAGGCAAATGGTCCAAAAGTGGATTTCGCGAGATAGATGGACAAATCAATGTTAACTAAAATGGCTGAAAATAAAAAAAAAACTACTCTTTAGAGTGACATTGGTTTTTACAATGCAGGACACTTGAAATTATTTGTAAAGCTAGGAAATGGGCCAAAAGTGAATTTCGCGAGACAAATTTGCGACCATTTTGAAAATAGGCGAGCTTTTGAACCAGGAGTCATAGGAGAGTTTTTTGTATTGATGTTGAACAAAATTAACTTAAAACGGGAATCCTATCGACAGAGGGTTTAAGGTAAATGGTTCAAAAGTGTATCATAAGGGAATTTTCTGTATTGATGTTGAACAAATAAACGTCCTTAAAACGGGAATCCTATCGACACAGGTTTTAAAGCAAATGGTCCAAAAGTGAATTTCGCGAGATAAAAATGGCGGCCATTTTGAAAATAGGCGAGCTTTTGAACCAGGAGTCATAGGTTTTTTTTTTATATTGATGTTGAACAAAAATAACTTAAAACGGGAATCCTATTGAGGTTTTAAAACTGGCCAATTGTTGACAGACAGACGGACAGACAGACAGACGGACAAGTGAGTGATTGCAATAGCTCACCATGTGAGCTAAAACGGACCATTGAATAAATATTGATGACTTAAGCTTTAGATTAAAGATCGATAAACATTCTACAATTAATTTAACTTCATTGGTAGAGGAATATTTCTCAAAAATATTTCTTGAAAATCTTGTCTGCCTTATCCTGCGTACCCATGCATTTTGCACACCATTGGAAAGCTTACCTTGTCTTCTTAAAGGAATATTCCTTGCCAAACCATCTCTCTCCTCATATGGTAGCTATAACCATATATATGCTTGCCATGTTTAGCAAAACACGCAAAAATGTTTTGATATGGTCAAATTTGATCACTTAGAAATGTAATGCTCAATTCCGGTTAGCTGCCATCTTTTAAAATTTCACACAGGAAGTGATGTCATCGACTCTCAACTTTGCATATAGCATTAGGCGAGGAGCTATTAAGAATTACAAAACCAGCTAAATATTCTTTTTCAAGTTTGTATTTTATTTAATCCTTCTGGAAATCTCTTCTTTAATTCTAAGTTGACAAGCCCTGAAAATATTTTTGCACAGAAAGTAATGATCACTTGTCTAGAAGTGATTTTGTGCTACATTCCTATACTGTTATGGCCAAGGTTATAGAAGTTGAGAGTTGATGACATCACTTCCTGCAAGAAATCGTAAAAGATGGCAGCTCACTGGAAATAAGCACTAGATTTTTAAATGATCAATATTGACCATATTAAAACATTTTCCCATGTTTTGCTAAATATGGTCAAACTATATATATGAGTATAGCTAACATATCAAGAGAGAAAGGGTCTGGCAAGGAATATTCCTTTAAACCTATTTTGTTCAAGAATTATATCATTCAGGGCACGAGGAAATTAAATTGAGCCATGTGTCGAAAGGATTTATTTATTTGTACATTTTTTTTATCTAAATTTAATTTACATGTACCATAAAAATTAAACAAAAAGAACAGTAAATATATGTACAAATTATTGTATTGATTATCATGTTCCCCGCTACTATATGCAATATGACACATTATGTAAACACATAAATATACATTCCTCTCCAAAAGTTTGGAAACCTTTCCTCATTGAGAGTTACATGTTATATATGGTGCTCGGATTTTAATTTACAACCAGGAAAAATTTTCCCCCGCTTACAAAATGTCATACTTTGATGACACATGAGATTAATTTTCAAAAATAGGTGTCCCCATGCTATCCCAAGACAAATTGTTGGGTTTGCAGGAAATAAGATTACATATCAATGCATACAATCTATCCAAGCCATTTAACAGTACAATGAGGAAAAGGGTTTCCAGATTTTGGAGGGAAGTGTACATGTACAGCATTGAAATTTGGCTCAAATTGTATCACAAAAATGGCAATTGTACAAGCTTCCAAAATACTTCAGAAAGGAAGTAAAAAATGCCAGTAATGGCGTAAACAAATCAATGATTTTTAATCATAAATATTCCCAATATAATAATTAATTCAGTTTGTTATAATATTCGTTCATCTTCAAAGAATTATGTAAATTTCTTAAATTATATATAATTAAAAACTAGATAACGGCAACTCTGCGGAGTAGCAAATCCCAACGAACAAAATATCAATTAGCGAATTCCAATCAATTATACTCATTACTTTGGTTAAAATTGAAAAAATTAGATTTTAGAATTGCGAATTCCTGCAAAGCAGCCATTTTGAATTTTCTGAGATAAAATCTGAAAAATAATACCATAATTGTGATCTACTCCAAAATTCCTTCAATTTGAGTATAATATAGCCATACTTTGAAGGGATCGAAAAATTATTGCGAAATCGTACATTAGACGGCCATTTTGAATTTTACGAGGCTCGAATCAGAAAAAAGATACAATATTTGCAATCTACTCTTAATTGCCTTTCATTTGAGTATAATAAAGCTATACTTTAGAAAGATCTAAAAATTAGCGAAAATTTCTGTTTTCCTGTCCCCCCATACACGGCCCCTGGGGGTCAGGATGAAAAACACAGAATATATGTGAAAAAGATAAATGTTGTGAATATACTACCAAAATTTCAAACAATAACATTAATTACTTTGTTCAGAATGAAAAATTTATGATTTTTGCGAAAAAGTCCCGTCATTTTTAAAGCGGCGGCCATCTTTTTTTTTGCGTAAAACTATTCACCAATATACATCTTTCCACTAAATATGAAGAAAATCCGTCAACTAGTATTTGAGTTATCTTCCGGACAGACGGACTGACTGACTGACGGACGGACGGACAGACGGACGGACGGAGGGCTTCACTATATCCCTACCGAACTTCGTTCGTTGGGATAATTAAAAGTGTATACTCATCACATACATGAATGAACTGGTTTGTAAAAATCTGGAATGAATATTTAACAATGTTCATTCCAGGTAGAAATACTTTCACAAGTTTACTTCAGTTCATTTTGAAGATCAAGTATAATTTATTCATTGTTAATTATATTATTATCATGTAATGAGGCTTAAGGATTCAAAAATGCAAACTCAAGTAAAGAAGAAACATTCAAATAGTCTTATCAAAAAATTAATTGTTAAGATTATTTCATCAATTTTAAATTCTATTCTAACAAACACAGAATACAAAACTATCAATGCTCACTGACTTAACAGTAATAAAAAAGATTGCCTAGATTTCATAATTTATAATTGGAAAATGTTAAAATGTTTAACTTATCAGTAACATACATGATTTAACTGGACTAGTTTTAAGACTCTCACTGGCACATAATGAGGACATATTTAAATAACGAAAATATATCATGCAAAGCACACAAAAATCAATATTTGTAAAAGTTTGACTAGTTTTAGAACTCCATCTTCAAAACATGAACAAATATCAAAATGTAACTAGATAAAAGCATTGCCAAAGCGTAGCAAATCCCATCGAATAGCCATGGCTTCCATTTTTGAAATGACCACCTATTAGCTAATTTTCATAAGACAGTGTAATATGCTTCTAAATATTCACATATGAAATATCAACAAAATCGCTGCACTACTTTTCCAGTTATAGAAAATGTCATAGATTTATAACATATACAAAAATGGCCACCATTTTCAAAATGAACACTTACTGGTCAAACTGTTATTTCAAAGTGTAATTGGAAAGTATTCACATATAAAATTTCAACAAAATCACTCCACTTCTTTTCCATATAGCAACAATGTAAAATATCACACAAACATTGGCCACAATTTTTCAAAATGGCTGCTCACTCACCAAATTGTCATAAGAAAGTGTAATATGCTTCCAAATATGAACACATAAAATTTCAATAAATTCACTTTACTTCTTTTCCAGTTATAGCAAAAAAATGTTGAATAACACACATAAAAATGGCAGCCATTTTTAAAATGGCCAACTTCTAGGCAAACCGTCAAAAGATAATGTTACATGCTTATAGTATTCCAATATAAAATATGAACAAAATCGCTTCCCTTTTTTTCATGTTACATCAAAAATCATAAAAAGCATGTAACCACCACCATTTTCCAAGATGGCCATCATGTCATGTTTTTGAAAAATAATTTAATTTCTTTTGCATTTAAAACATATTTATATTACAGTTTTATACATGTAAACTAAAATATTGTAAAATTGACACTAAAATGGCAGCCATTTTCAGTTCTGAAATCAGCTTTTAAGCAATACATCTACACATATGAAATATAAACGATACTGAGCTATTCTCTATATCCCCTCGAACTTTTGTTCGATGAGATAATAAAAAACTACATCTTAAGCAGCATTTTTAGGTGCATTTGAATACCATACAGACCAGCCAGAAAATTCATATCTTTTTTGTCTGTTTTGAATACATGGGCAAAATCAATGAGTTTAACCTCCACTTCATCATCAATGCTACTATATCCATTAACACAACCAACATGGTTGCTGTCAGCTGAATTGTAACTTTGGTTATTTTCAGATTTCTCTTCCAGCTGTATATCACCCTCAAAGACGATCAAGATGGACATTGCAAAAAACATGAGTTCTGTCTGTATGTTGAACCAATGTTCAATTTCCTGTAGTTTGCATAAAACATGTCTTATAACATCCTTACGAAGTTTTCCACCTTGTGTAAAGTACCTTGCAAGACCTGGAAAACACAACTGAGATTAAGTGTCCAAGACATATTTTGTAGCTTCATTTATATTTTCATTTATTGAAATTATGTATAACATTTGTGACATATTTTTTAATACTTTGATACTGCCAAGAAATTAAAGAGAAAAATTTAGCTCTTTCAGTCAAACAAAATACACGAACAACACTTTGATAGTTGTTTCACCCACAACATGCTCTGATACCATAACACATCTACCAAATGGATACAAAAAAGTATTGCAATTGTTACAGATGCTTTATGATGACAAATGCTGACATCAATACCAGCATTTGGTAGGCTCACATGCTGAAAAATACTGTGTTTGTCTTTAATTTGGGGCTACTTAATTTGACAATTTTGTATTTTTGGGCATATTGGCGTCTTTTTAATTTGGCGGTTTTTCAAGTGTCCCCCGACATCCTCCTGTGTAACAAAATTCAAAATACTCATTGTCAGTGTTGTTGATGAACAATTTCTTGTTCTTTATATAAATTTCTTCAACATCTCTTGTTGTTTCTATCTACTGTAGATTGGGTTAATTTGGCGCCCGCTTTAATTTGGCGAATTTGGCGAAATTGAAAAATTCGCCAATATAAATCTTCGCCAAAATTTAGAATGAATCCCCGGGAATTATCTAGGGTATTTCGTCGAGTGTATTTAGGTCACTTCCGGTTTAGTTTTTTCCAAAAATATGAAAAAAATGTCTCTCATAAATTGGCTCAGAACTGGTCAGTCACTTATTAATACTCAGGGAAAAACTAGAAAGGAAAAGTGCAGTATAGTAGCAGCATCAATCGAGGTGCAAAATGTAAAGGATGATCTCACAAAAATGTACAAACGTGGTGAATATTGCCAGTGGTCCTCAAAAGAAAAATGAACATAAAATTCGCAAACAACGCGTAAGTTAATTAAAAATTTTTTTGCATATCCGCCAAATTAAATAGCCGCCAATATGCCAAAAATGGCAAAATCGCCAAATTAAGTAGCGCCAAATTAACCCAATCTACAGTACTAAAATGGCCTGGCCATCTTGGTATCTTTCTTATAACTGGAAATGCACCGAACGTAAACCATGTCAAATTCCCAGGGATTTTGGTGACTATTTAATATGGCAATTTTTTCAAATCGCCGAAATTCGCTAATTTAAAATGCTAGCCAAATGGAAGACAAATACAGTAGTAATCTACATTTCTTCTACATGAAATTGTTTTCAAATGTAATAAACACATGTTTGATGTTTTTGCTGGGAGATCATGTATGTAATGCCTGTAGACTTCAAACAGATCTCATAAAATTATTGTCAACCTACCTTCTGATGCTATAGTGTCTTTGTTAAGAGTCCTAAAGTAAACTTTATTCGCAGAGTGGAATTCTCCTGTCTCTGGTTCATAGGTCTGAAAGAATGATTTTCATAATTTATTAAATGAAAAATGAATAGTACCTGGTTACTGGGCTCAACATATTGTAGTGATTTCAGTCTAATTGACAGCCACATAGACTTCAAAACCTCATAATTTGGTATTACATTTGAGAACAAACATTTACACTTTAATGCAAATAACCAATAATTGATTCGGCCCCTTAATTTATTTCAGCAAAGGAAATGGTGGCTTTTTAAAATTTTCCCAAGAACCTTAATCAAGATTTTAAAAACTCATTGGTATTACATATCAGAACATGATTTTAATGCAAACCAAAGTAAATTTTGATAAAAGAGGCAGCCATTTAGAATTTTTGCAACAACTTATGTCAAGACTTAAAGGCCTACTATGCATATTTTCAACATTCTTTGGCAAAATAAAGCTTTACTTTTTGACTTTTTAGTATTTCCAATGGATCGATAAGCACTTTATCTTTTATTGGACAGCAAAAACAGTTCAAACAGGCCACATCAAAGTTTACAATAAATTATCAAAAAATATTTTTGATCTGTCAAGTTTTATGTATCAATATTTTATTAATGTCATTGAAAGATATAGCGAGGTTGTTTGTATCACAGGATCCATTCATCTTTATAGAAGTGTTATCATCTTTTAAATCAAGAGTTATTTAAAACTAGCACTTTGTCAAACATGGGCGTGCACCACTAATGATCTCTGAACTTCAAATGCTCTTTTCTACATGTGTTATTTTTTTCTAGGTTCAATATTGCAAATCAATCTTTGTATCATATTTGATTGAGTATGTGAGTGACATGTTTAAGTGATTATTTTATCCTTTTTCTTCTGAAGTAAGCATAGTGCGGCTTTAAGAACCTTGTTGGCATTACATATGTAAACTTAAATGCAAATCAAAGCAAACTAGATAAGGGCAACTCCGCGGAGTAGCAAATCCCAACGAACAAAATATCAATTACCGAATTCTAATCAATTATACTCATTACTTTGGTTAAAATTGAAAAAATTAGATTTTAGAATTGCGAATTCCTGCAAAGCAGCCATTTTGAATTTTCGGAGATACAAATCTGAAAAATAATACCATAATTGTGATCTACTCCAAAATTCCTTCAATTTGAGTATAATATAGCCATACTTTGAAGGGATCGAAAAATTATTGCGAAATCGTACATTAGATGGCCATTTTGAATTTTACGAGGCTCGAATCAGAAAAAAGATACAATATTTGCAATCTACTCTTAATTGCCTTTCATTTGAGTATAATAAAGCTATACTTCAGAAAGATCTAGAAATTAGTGAAAATTTCTGTTTTCCTGTCCCCCCATACACGGCCCCTGGGGGTCAAGATGAAAAACACGGAATATATGTGAAATAGATAAATGTTGTGAATATACTACCAAAATTTCAAACAATAATATTAATTACTTTGGTTTAGAATGAAAAATTTATGATTTTTGCGAAAAAGTCCCGTCATTTTTAAAGCGGCGGCCATCTTGAAAAAATTTTTTTTTGCGTAAAACTATTCACCAATATACATCTTTCCACTAAATATGAAGAAAATCCATCTACTAGTATTTGAGTTATCTTCCGGACAGACGGACGGACTGACGGAGGGACAGACGGACGGAGGGCTTCACTATATCCCTACCGAACTTCGTTCGTTGGGATAATTAATTCCACAATTAATTTTCTGTGAATTTTGAATTTTTCCAAGAATTTTTGTTGGTAGTAAGATAACAAAAGTAATGCACCGACAGAAAATTTAAGGCTCTTTAGCCGAAATGCTAAAGAAACTTAAAATTTAAGGCTCTCTAGCCAAATGGGTTACCAAAATGCTATAGCCTTAAAATGTAAGGCTCTCCAGCCACGGTCTATGTATAAAGTCTTGAAATAAATAAAAAGAATACAATACAATACAGTTAATACAATATAATACAATACAATAGGGCAATTATTCATATTGCTTGCCAGATTACCTTGAAAATCATAGAATTATCCAAATTATCCAATTTATTACAAATAGCAAAAAATATTATGACACTAAATTTTTTCAAAAGGAACCCATCAATAAATTTTCTTGCACCATTATTTATATAAAAGGTTTACTTACTCTGGAACCTATCATCTGATATCCACATTCTAAAGCTGGAGGGAATTTTAGCTTTTCCCTTTCAATTTTTTCAGGTGTCGCTTCTGGGTCATATGAGACTGGTCCAACTTTAAGATCAGCGATACATGGTTTGCGAAACTTATGAGCAACATCCACTAGTCGCATGTAAACCACTGGAAATTATGTTTAGGTATAATGTTATTAATATTTTATTGGTGAATTTAAATCAATGATTAACAGACATTTTGATTTCTCTAAGAACATCTCACAATTTCAAAATACAAGACATAAAAATGCACAATAGGGGCCATTTTCTGTATAATCAATTATGACATGCAAATGATTAATAAGTGAATTTGCTACTACCATATTGGTATTGCATTCATTGTGTCATACTTGAGCTAAGCTGTCAGGGTGCTAATGTACTTCTTTCATTGTGATAAGCTTACAATGAATAAATAGTACCGTGGGTACTGGGCTCACATGGTGTTGCTCAAAAGTGAATGATGGCTTTTGAACCAGGAGTCATAGGGGAGTTTTCTGTATTGATGTTGAACAAAAACAACTTAAAACGGGAATCCTATCAACAGATGTTTTAAAGCAAATGGTCCAAAAGTGAATTTTGCGAGACAAAAATGGTGGCAATTTAGAAAATCGGTGAGCTTTTGAAACAGGAGTCATAGGGGGTTTTCTATATTGATGTTGAACATAAATAACTTAAAACGGGAATCCTATTGACTAGAGCTCGGAGGTATTGTCGGTAATGCCGCAAAGGTAAGGTTATTGGTGGATGCCAGTATTGAAATTTATTACCGACATCGAATGGTAAATCCCCGGGGAAATTCGCGATTCATACTTCATCAATCGGTACCACAAATAACGTCTAAAAGTCGCATTTATTTATACAACACTCGGTTCCCCAAATGTGATGTAAGAGGGGGAATTAAAGAGGTAAATAGCAAAATGTTTGTAAAAATCAAAAAGTTCAATTTTTTCAGAATTCTTTTGATTATTTTTCTTCGCCAGTGATTAATCAGTAACGGTTCGGTTTCAAGATGCGGTAATACCGGCACCATTTTCCAATGCCGTTCCGAGTTCTACTATTGACAGAGGTTTTAAAACAGACCAATTGTTGACAGACCGGACAGACGGTTATCTTGTAATATATAGATACAGACGGACGGATGGACAGATAGACAAGTGAGTGATTGCAATAGCTCACAATGTGAGCTAAAAAGCCCATTCCACGCTAACACCCCAACACACTTATAGAAATGATGGATCCATCACGAAGTTTGCACATGTTTTCAAGCGCATATTAGTTATTGGTCTATATTGTAGGCCTGGGTTAACTAGAAAAAATGCATATGTTATTATATGTTATTGAATTTTTTTTAGGTCAAACTTTCTGACAGTAGCAACAACTACACTATGTGCATTAGTTATTTCTGTACTTGCAATCAATATTCTCTCTTTTTTCCATTGATCCCCATCATCTTAAAATCACTCAGAAAATACTGAATGTGTCAATCATGTCAGATGCATGTCACCCATCATCTCATTTTTTCATACCCATCATCTCAACTATCCAATCAAATATTAAGCACCGTCAGTTCAATTGCCAATTTTCAATAATTTGAGTCATTAATTAATGAGAAAATACTTGTAAAAAAAAAATAAGATAAAATAAATTAGATATGTACTTAAAGAGTTATTTGGTTTAAGTTTCTATTATTTACAGTACTGACAACTAAACACTGCACAAAATCACCAATGGACGCAGGATCGATCATTCTGAACAGCGCGCTAGTGCATTCAAAATTGGCGCATGTTTTCATTATAACCATGTGATAATTAACCCTGCTGGAACACTGTCATGAATTTTATGTGTAATGAACTCTCTAAAGCATATCATTCCATGACACACTTACACAGGCTGGTATCGAAAAATTTGTCGGCTGTGACGGAGCATTCTATTTTGCATAGAAACACTCAGAAACCCAGACAATTTATTTTTTTACTCATATGTTTAATCCAAAGAAAATTTCTTACTCCATGCAATGGGTATATCATTTGCCGGTAACTTTAACTTTTGTTTGAAGTCCAACAACGCTAAGAGTAAAAGCTATTGAAAACAGCGCCGGGGTATCATACTCCAAAATGTACCATTTCTTTTATTTCTTTTTAATGGTACAATATAGTGATACGATAATATTTACATACGTTTTCAGCATAACTCTGAAGGTATTAATGATATCTTGATGTATTGGGTATTTTTAATATTTTTTATAAAAAATAATGTTTAAATATTTTGTCAGCTGTGACGGAGCAGCTTTAACTGTGAACTACGTTAAGAATTTAAGATTCAAATTATATCTTTTAAAAGTACCCTTAGAAGAGAGAACGTCACAAATCACTTTCCTAAATTATGACAAGTAGCCTCTTGGAGATCTGGGGTAATGTAAATCTGAGATATAAAAACGACCACTCTTAGTATTTTTCGGAGGTTTGTACTGAAATCAACATGAATCAACATGATGTAAACTCAACATAATATTTCTAATACGTTTTCGCCAAAACGTCTTGAAATGTCACGTGTAGTTTAAATAGGGCTAATATGAATTTATTCGAAATAACGCACAGACATCATGTATTCCGACAGATGTATAACCTTTTACCACATAATATTACTGTATATAAGATGATCCCAATACAGATTTAATTTGTAATTATTTGAAATTCATCATTTTGCATAGACTAAAATTATAAAAAAGGTCTTGGTAAACATGCTGCACTGTAAAACCTGTATCAATGAATATCTTTCTCTAGTGAGCGCCTCTTCTTATCAAATATTCCTCTGACTTCTGTATGAAATTGCCTCTATGGAGTGAACATCTACCAACCGGGAACACATTTTTGGGCTACATATGTGTTTACTATACACATGTTTTACTGTAGTTGCATCAGATAGCCAAAACTCTTATTCAAATAAAGAACGATCTTAAAATCAAATTTTGCATTTTCGTATAACAAGATACACTCAACTTACCTTTTGGAACGACTAAAGAGGGTAGAACAATCCACAGTCCATACCATCATATGTATTTAGCCTCATCTTCAGCAAATCATTTTACTTCAAATAATCAAGTAACCATTAAAAATGACCATGTCAGGCCGATGGATCCACAGAAGGCACTACGAAAGGCAAATACCCTATACTGAAATGAAGTTGACTATCATTTTCATGAGTTACCATGCATAAGTTGGATTGCAGTACAAACTGAGAAAAGATGCTTAAAGAGTGGTCGTATATACATCTCAGAATTTGAATTGTGTACTTTTATTACGTTTCATTTTTCAGAATACTTTACGAGATTTGACACGCTCGCTCCTCTAAAGTGTAGTTGTAAAGAGATATATTATAAATCTAAATTCTTAACATATTTCAGATTTGAAACTGCTCCGTCACAGCGGACAAAAAATTTAATTATTATTTTTTATCAAAAAATTTTAAAATACCCAATACATAAATATCTCATTAATACCTTCAGAGTTATGCTGAAAACATATGTAAATATTATCAAGTCGCTACATTGTACCATTAAAAATAAATAAAATAAATGGAACATTTTGGAGTATGATACTCCGACGCCATTTTCAATAGCTTTTACTCTTAGCATTGTTGGACTTCAAACAGAAGTTAAAGTTACCCGCAAATGATATATTCATTGCATGGAGTCAGTAATTTTCTTTGATATAGCAAAACATGAGTAAAAAAATAAATTGTGTGGATTTCCTAGTGTTTCTATGCAAAATAGCACGCTCCGTCACAGCGGACTTTTTCGATACCAGCCTGTGACTTAATCTTAAACTTAATAAAAGAAGAGATTCTTATGTCTTCAACCAGTATATACTCATTTATTGAGCTACGGTTTCAACAACCTCCGTTTGTCTTCCTCAGGCTCCTGCATGCCACCTAGTGGCCAGGAGAGGTTGTTAAAACAAAATAAATAAGTGAGTATATACTGGTTGAAGACAAAAGAACATGTATTCAGAATGAACTAGACAACAGCAATGCCAAAGCGTAGTAAATCCCATCGAAGAGCCATGGCTGCCATTTTTACAAAATCCTTCTACTACTTTTTTAGTTAAAGCAAACCCTTATAAAAAATTCAACCTTGAAAGTCCGAATTTAAACCGTTTCCATCAATCATTGAATAATAATTGTTTCAACTACCAAGATCAAAGGAAAAACCATTGTACGATGATAAGCAATCATTGTGCAACCATTGTGTTCAACCAAGCGAAGTCAACTCTTTTTCAACGACTGCGCAACCGTTTCTATACAATCATTGTAATCTGCAACCATTGTAAACTGCAACCATTTCACATTAAAATGTAAATGGTTGCAATATGTTCTGTTCAATGATTACATAGTTCAACCCCTGCAACCATCCTGAATTAGTATCGTTCCAAAAAATTATAATTTTACCTGAATTAAAATTATCTTTAAGTAAGGATTTGAATCTACCTCTATTCAACAACAGTATATTAGGATATTTTTTTTGCAAGCATACATGCATGTTTATTATAGTAAATAACTTAATTCATGTTAATATGTTTCTTTCTCCAGTACGAATTTAGGAATGCGATACCAGACTAGTTTTCCACTAAATGGCATATGATAATTTATGTTCTCTGTCATTTACATTATTTACACAAATTAAAAGCACCATATTTAGTGTTTATTTACCTTTTTTGATATTGCCAAAATGATGTATCTTTAATATTAATTATGAAAAGAATTTAGCAAAAATCCAATTTGGTTAAGAAATTGACCAAGGAAAATCGTAAGATTTCCTTTAAACTTAGCAAAATCACAAGATGAGACACAATGGTTTTTGTTCATGATCAGACTGATGATCAAAAGAAGCAGGATAAATGATGTACAAAATAATACAAACATATGTACATGTAATCACAAGTTGATTGCTTTATTTAGTGAAAATGTTTTATAGTAATAATGCATTCAGGCAGCAGAGACTTACTTTTCACAGTTTCAACTGGAAAACATCTGAATTAATAATTTCACTAAAATTTTGTCAAGGTAGATGAATTATTGCTAAACCCATGATATACAAATAGATTGGTATGGGATCATATTGATATCAGA